TATATTATAAAAGGAATATCAGTAATCATCTGATATCGTATTCTTGCGCATAGTATAGCGGCCTGACACACAATTGCCTTGATATATTCGATATATCAAATATGATATATTCTTTGAGATATATATATAGTCGGCAGCCTTCAGGAACCTTGAGCACGTGGTCCCTAAGCTACCTTACACAAAGGTCAAAATAAGGTGTGAAAGGTGGAGAGATACGACAATTATCAGGACAAACCACTAAGCCATTAACTACTATATTGCACTTTAGAAGGGATATGAAGCTAAGGATTTAGGATAATACGAAGCAAAGGAGTTTACCCAACTACTAGGATCCCTGGAAACACAAACCGAAACTGTCTCTATTTTCCGCTTGTTATAACTTGTAATAAAGTTGTTACATCTTGGCTTAACGTGTTTATGACGTATTAGAACGTTGTTACAACTTGCTATATTGGTTGTTATAGCTTGTTAGGTGTTGTTAAAACCTGTTCGAACGTTGTAGCAACGTCATAGTTTCTTTGCGTGTTTGGCGGGGTCGGAGATTGAATGACAACCTGCAAGGAAGCAGGGCAGTCGCTTTACCGTCCAGTCGAAGTGTTTGGGCAAAGTGAGAGGGGAAATACAAGCCTGTTTCTATACTTTGGAGGCTTAAGCGCTCAGAAAATAACACCCAATACCCTAGAGCAAAAATACAAACTATTACAGTGTGTAATTATATCATGTTAAAAGCTTGGATATATATTAAATTCCTAACATCACAACCTTTATATAATTATATTTATGCACTACAGTAGACTCGTATATTATTATATTTCGTAAAATTAGAGTTATTTTATGATTTCGATCATATATCATAGATAAGGAACATATTCATACTGAGAGGTATAACTAGCTTCTAGGTGTATATAAACTGACAAATGTCCATAACTTCTCGATATATATACACTGACAGGTTTACCTCGCTGTTCGGTGTATATAGGTTGAGAGTTTACTAAAAGTCCTGGTTTACATACAAGACTAATGCATTTTGATTGGTCAGAAAGCTACTGTGCTGGCTTTAATATCCCTCCTGTGGTTGATAGGCCTTAAGTCTATCAGAGTAAACTGCCTTAGTTAACTCGCATGTCATTACATCACGTACAATTAGAAGCATATGATGATTGCCTTAACTTACCATAGTAAACTCGTATGATAGTCTCAGCTACGTTAAGACACATCGGCTATTCCTTCATTATTTAGTAAAGGCATCGAGCCTCAACATCAGTTGTCTGGGTTTGTGAATAAGAAATTAAAAGATCATGAATAAGGTAATAGACTGGAATAACTCTACTTAACAAAGTGATAAAAGTTATTATGGAGTAGAGTCCTCCTTTTAGCACTTAAGTCATCGACGAGGTAAATGTGGTGCTTAAGTTGATCAGACTTGAGACATTAGACTTAGTGAATGTAAGTCCTCTTGGTTCAGTTGGTCAGACTTGAGACATTAGACTTAGTGAATGTAGGTCCTCTTGGTTAAGTTGATCAGACTTGAGACATTAGACTTAGTGAATGTAGGTTCTCTTGGTTAAGTTGATCAGACTTGAGACATTAGACTTTGTGAATGTAAGTCCTCTTGGTTAAGTTGATCAGACTTGAGACATTAGACTTTGTGAATGTAAGTCCTCTTGGTTAAGTTGGTCAGACTTGAGACATTAGACTTTGTGAATGTAGGTCCTCTTGGTTAAGTTGGTCAGACTTGAGACATTAGACTTTGTGAATGTAGGTCCTCTTGGTTAAGTTGGTCAGACTTGAGACATTAGACTTTGTGAATGTAAGTCCTCTTGGTTAAGTTGGTCAGACTTGAGACATTAGACTTTGTGAATGTAAGTCCTCTTGGTTAAGTTGGTCAGACTTGAGACATTAGACTTTGTGAATGTAGGTCCTCTTGGTTAAGTTGGTCAGACTTGAGACATTAGACTTTGTGAATGTAGGTACTCTTGATTCAGTTGATCAGACTTGAAAAAAAACAATTCTCATCATACCGAAGATTAAATAAAACGAAGAAAGGGATATGAGATAGACTATATACTCCAGACGGCCACCAACTCAGACCTGGACTAGGATTCATCAGGCATTCACCCAACTACTTACGAAACCTGTACATCTTTCACCAATCATGGCAGCTTTGTTATACATGCATTTCAGTTTACAAACTTCAAAAACAAAACAATCCAAGATTATTATTATTATAAACAACTACGTAGTATTTCGTGGATCATAAATGGCTTTATAAATGTAAACAAAGCCGCCATGATTGTTGAAAGATGTACAGGTTTCGCATTTGATTGTGTAAATGATTGTTGAATCTTTGCCCTGTCCTCTCACTTAATGCACCGCTATATTTTTTTTTTTAAGCTATGGTCTACATCGTCAAATTTTCGTCGATTTGGTTAAATCTAAAAGCATCGTCAATTTTATGCTAACTAGGACTACTGGGCTGCTTGTTGGTATTAAGAAGATGCTAGAGGGCATCAATAATGCCCTTGTTGGCATCATTAGGGTTTTTGTGGGCATCATTAGGGTTTTTGTGGGAATTAATAGGGTTCTTGTGTGCATCAATAGGATTCGTGTGGGCATTAATAGGGTTCTTGTGGGCATCAATAGGGTTCTTGTGGGCATCAATAGGGTTCTTGTGGGCATCATTAGGGTTTTTGTGGGCATTAATAGGGTTCTTGTGTGCATCAATAGGATTCGTGTGGGCATTAATAGGGTTCTTGTGGGCATCAATAGGGTTCTTGTGGGCATCATTAGGGTTTTCGTGGGCATCAATAGGGCTCTTGTGGGCATCATTAGGGTTTTTGTGGGCATCAATAGGGTTCTTGTGGGCATCATTAGGGTTTTTGTGGGCATCAATAGGGTTCTTGTGGGCATCAATAGGGTTCTTGTGGGCATCATTAGGGATTTTGTGGGCATCAATACGGTTCTTGTGGGCATCATTAGGGTTTTTGTGGGCATCAATAGGGTTCTTGTGGGCATCAATAGGGTTCTTGTGGGCATCAATAGGGTTTTTGTGGGCATCAATAGGGTTCTTGTGTGCATCAATAGGGTTCTTGTGGGCATCAATAGGGTTCTTGTGGGCATCAATGGATTAAATAATTTTGAGTAACTATTAAAATGTCGAGAGAAGAACTCCTAACTAGTTATAATGGCTGATATATGAAAAATTATTAATGACAGCAATAAACCAATCACAGAAAGCAAAAGACCAAAGAAAGCAGTGGACCAAAACAGAGAAACCAGTGGACCAAAACAAACCAGTGGACCAAACACACACAATGAGCAGAAGCTAATTAGGCTCATCTCAGTAAAGACCATTGATATAAGACGATTATCCGTCTCCTTATATCTTCACACACTGATGCCGTACACCAAGTTGTGAATCTCAAATATCCGGCTTAGCGAGGTGTGAATCGAGTTGTCTCCTTCATATATCCGGATAAGCGAGAGGGTTGTAGTTTGCCCATCAGATCGGTTTATATTAGAGAGTCGTAGGGCCTGGTCTGGTACGCAGGATACGGATACGGTATTCCTGCTGGGAGGCTGGGGGGGGGGGGGGGAGTTTTAGTTGGAAACGATAAATGATTTCTTTCACGTGTGTGATTGGCGCCGGGTACCAGGTGGAGAGTTCCCGCAACAGGTGTGTGTGTGTGTGTGTGTGTGTGTGTGTGTGTGTGTGTGTGTGTGTGTGTGTGTGTGTGTGTGTGTGTGTGTGTGTGTGACGCCGTTACAGAACCCCTAGCACACTCACCCATCCACTAAACACCACTATTGAAACCGACACACATAACCCCAGCACACACACACACACATACACACACACACACACACACACACACACACACACACACACACACACACACACACACACACACACACACACACACACAAACCGGCGCAGAAACAAACAAAAAAATACACCAAAAATATTTAAAAAAAAAATCAGTTAGTCTGACCGCTGGTTGGTTGGCCCGGACGAGTTAAGCTGGATGGCGAGGGATGGCAACTGATACAGGGTAGGGGTGGGGGGGGAGGGGAGCCATGATGCCAACCCAGACAAGGTGTCAGTAGGTTGTGAGTTCGCGGCGAGGACGCACGCGCGCTCTGAGTGTGGCTCGTAGCACGGGGCTTCGTCAGGGATACAGTAAGTTAAAACTGCTGTTTGATGTCTCGGAGGGACTTACAGCTCTGAATATTGGTTTGTTTTGATCTGTGAATGGCGTTGACAGGGTGGGCATCAGCTGTTGACATAAAATTTGAATTTTACTACTTTTGCGAGGCTTTAATGTCTATTTTGCTTTTGATCGGCAAATTAAGTTTAAAGAAATGTTAGTTGAGTTGTTTCATATCACGCGGAGGAACCATTAAGAAATTTAAAAGAATTTGAAAGCTGTTGAATTGCTTCGAGACGATCGAAGGAGGTAATTACCTCATTAATTTTCTCTTTGTAAACTGTGGCGTTTTTCAAAGACATTTTCAATTAACTTAAGAACATAAAGGGAAGAAAACATTGCTGTATGCCAATTGGTCCACATGAGGTCTTGTGTATACTGTGGTGTGTTAAAAACACATATTGAGACATGCATATTCATACACATGTACACACACACCTGCGCACTCAAACACGCGCAGACATACGCAATACACACGTACATATGCATGCACACACACACACACACACACACACACACACACGTGTGGTGTGGTGGAGGCTGACTCCATACACGGTTTCAAATGTAGATATGATAAGAGCCCAAAAGGCTCAGGAACCTGTACACCAGTTGCTTGACAGTTGAGAGGCGGGACCAAAGAGCCGAAGCTCAACCCCGCAAGCACAATTAGGTGAGCACACACACACACACACACACGTATCAGGGTAGCTTGACAAAGAAGCCTCAAAACACCATATACAACGTACGTAAGACCAACCTTTGAGGATGCAGCTACGGTATTAAGTCTAAATCTAAAAATGTCAAAAAATAACTTAGAGGAAATTAAGACAAGCGCGATAAAATTGATCGTAGAGCAGAGGAGACGCGCAGAGACAAGCTGATAGATGTGTTCATTACAGAATTGTAACTATGGAGTTAATGTAGTTTTGTGTACTGTTACTAGGGTACACAAGGTCCTTGGCCCTCCATCCATGCTGTTAGGGACCACTCAGTTCCAGCACCACCAGCTCCTTAACTGTCTTGACACCATTGAATTACACATATCACTATATACCTTGTGTATATAGTGATATGTGTAATCACACTACCTTGTGTACACTTTATTTATTTACATACAAGAAGTTACATTAGGGGTTAACCGAGAATATAGAAAATAAGTTGAATTAACATTCTTGTAAAGTCACTAGCACGCATAACGTTTCGGGCAAAGCACATACGTGTGTTAATACGTGTTTAAACAACTTGCCAACTGCATACAATACAAGAGAAACGCTCAGAAACACTTAAGATTCAGATAGAATCTTAGACTCTCACTTATTTCTTCCACGTAATCTAAGCTCTTTCGTCCACTTGATGTGTTGTCATATAAGGACCGAACCGACTCTCAAATTCTGAAATACTTCAAAAGTTACATTTCACCCAATAAAGACTATAATGGCAATTTGTATCACAATGTAACCACAATACCTAAATATAACATTCTCCCAAGGAGCTGTGAAAAAAAAATCAAGACAGATATCACGGTTAAAATGAAGATTTTTTCATCTCGTTAATTAAATTTATTATTCTTTGTTTAACGTCATTATAAATTGATTAAATCATTATTGCATCATACACAACGATGTTACTCGTTGCATCGCAGTATCATCAATTTGTATTAATATACATCAATACATCAATTTGTATTAATATTGAATTCAGAAAATCAAGATTTATCTCACATAAACTCTTCCCAAGCACTTGGGCTGGACGGTAGAGCGACGGTCTTGCTTCATGCAGGTCGGCGTTCAATCCCCGACCGTCTACAAGTGGTTGGACATCATTCCTTTCCCCCCGTCCCATCCCGAATCCTTATCGTGACCCCCTTCCCAGTGCTATATAGTCGTAATGGCTTGGCGCTTTCCCCCCTTCCAGTTCCTTTTCCTTCATATCAGCTCTTGGTAAATAAATATTATATAAGTCTCTGTTATTTTAGCTATGGATGAGCGTCAATCAGATTACATAAAATTATCATTGATTATTATTTGTTACATCAATACTGTATTACATCAATACTGATATTAGGATATTCCCAGTAAAATATTAAAGTAATATGGCAATAATATTATTATTTTATTTTTAATTTGTATTAGGATACTTTATGGCATACTTACCATACATTCCGAAGGATACATATGTATATCCAAGTCGTATATATATCCCACTTGTATTCTGGTTTCAGAAACTGTATCCTGGTGTCTGTTGGAACAGTTCTTTGAGAGAACGGATTATTGTACACAAACGTATTTAACCCATTTACAGTACTCTTCATAACTCAAATGCGGGATATATAATTAGGATTATGAATTCTAACCACGTTAGAAGAAAGGCGAGTCAGGGAAGAAATGTCTACATACTATTGCTGAACGTAAGTTACATTACATGGCTGGAAAGTTAAGACACTCAACCCACAGGTCTGAGAATAATGGAAGAGACGACGATGTTTCGGTTCGTAATGAACCATTATTACAACACTTCCTAATGGTCCAGGAAGGACCGAAACGTCACCCCCTTTCCTGTCTTTTCAGATTTGTCGATTTACTGCCTAATAACATTCTAGATATTAAAAGGGGGGGCAAAGCGGCAATGTTCGAAATGAGAAACAGAAGGACCCCAGGACACTGATATAAAGGATTACATGTACACTGAAATCTTGGTACAACGGAATTTACAACTGAGTTTTACCTGGTACAGTTTACCCGTTGGTCTACGTTCCGAACTGAAGTACTCTTCGCTGGATGATTGGTAAGATATTGTAGTGCCCTTAACAACTCCTGCCACGGTTCATAGTCCTTAGTCTCAATACCAAAAACAAACCCAAATGGTATTGGCTCGAGACACTGATGAGTCTCTCAATGGTATTGGCTCGAGACACTGATGAGTCTCTCAATGGTATTGGCTCGAGACACTGATGAGTCTCTCAATGGTATTGGCTCGAGACACTGATGAGTCTCTCAATGGTATTGGCTCGAGACACTGATGAGTCTCTCAATGGTATTGGCTCGAGACACTGATGAGTCTCTCAATGGTATTGGCTCGAGACACTGATGAGTCTCTCAATGGTATTGGCTCGAGACACTGATGAGTCTCTCAGACGATAGGAAAAACATTTTCAGGGTAAGAGCCGGAAGCAGGTCCAATGGTCTTCAGGAGGGGGGGGGGGGTGGTAGAAGAGACATATTCAATCAGCAGCTTCGAACGTTCTACGATGATATACATGAGAATGGAAAGTCATTCCATTAACTGGCTAGTGGTGGTGGGTGGAGGGATGTAAAGGTGGGGATTAGGGAGCTAAATGCAGGCGATGAGTCACAATAACGTGGCTGAAGTATGTTGACCAGACCACACACTAGAAATTGAAGGGACGACGACGTTTCGGTCCGTCCTGGAGCATACTCAAGTCGATTCAAATCGACTTGAGTATTGTCCAGGACGGACCGAAACGTCGTCGTCCCTTCAATTTCTAGGGAGCTAAAGCTCGCTCGGCTCTGAAAACAGTATTAGGTAAGGACACATATGAGTGTACATGTGGATATATCTTGAAATGTTATCTTGAGGTAATTTCGGGGCTTAGCGTCTCCGCGGCCCGGTCCTCGACCAGGCCTCCTTTTTTTTTGTTACACATCCCCAGGAAGCAGCCCGTAGCAGCTGTCTAACTCCCAGGTACCTATTTACTGCTAGGTAACAGGGGGCATCAGGGTAACAAGAGGCTCTGCCCCTTTGTTTCCGCCTCCACCGGGGATCGAATCCGGAACCTCAGGACTACGAATCCCGAGCGCTGTCTACTCAGCTGTCAGGACCACATTCGCATACACTAGCACACATTCACTTACACACACCACTCAAGCAAAAATGAACATAA